TGATCTGCGTTCAAAAACATGGGGAGAATGCTAGATGAAGTAAAGTAAGATGCAGAACTTCTATGAGCTTGACCATGGAACTTTTCTTCTCTTTCTCCTCGTCCTGTGTGCATATAAATAAACCTTAGAGTACAATTTCAAAAGTGTGCAGCAACACTGTCTCAACTTGTGCTGTTTTTAGGATAGAATACTAGCATATAGACAAACTGTCTGATAGTCTAGCAAGTGAGAAGCAAACTAAAAGACTAGACTCAAATGCTCTGAACCCCAGTGCTAGGTATTAGATATCTAATAATTGAGTATACTTTCATTAGCAGAAAGATGCTTTAAAGTATTTGCCAATATTTTCTAGGCCACAGAATTATTAATGGATCTTTAAGTGTATTAGTCCATTTTGTGTTGCTGTAGGAAAATATGTAGGGCTGGGCACTTTGCAGAGCTAGAAGTTCGTTTCACTCGAGGTCGTGGATCATAGTGCTGTCATCTGCTTGGTTCTGGTGAGGGCTTCTAGCTACATCGCAGCATGGCAGAGAACATCAGGGTGAGAGCAGATGTGGCAGAGGAAGCATGACAAAACTGGGGGCCAGAGGGCAGGAAGGGGTCAGGCTTGCTGTTTTATAATAATCCATGTTTATAGGCGCTAGCATACTTCTATCACTTCTACCACATGGAGCGGTTTAGAGAATCTAATCTCTTCAAGGTGGTGGTGCATGCTTGATGCGATTACAAGATATAAAATTCATCGCAAGCTTCCTCTGCACCTCAAACTCTTCATTATTTTGAGAAGCATCACTTTGTAAAGAGTCACCCCACTTTTGTCCCATTTCCTGTTAATGACATAGCATTGATCCCTTCCGGAAGACCGTGCCATCATAATGGAATTAACTTCCACACCTGACACCACCATACTGGAGATCAAGCCTCCAGCCTGTGATGCTTTGGGGAATGAACCACACACTGGTTCCTCTACTGTTAAGTGGAAAAATCAGTTTGTAAAATGTTATTCTAAATGTGATCTCAACAATAATGGGAAAAGAAAGATTGAAGAAAATATAATTGTCTGTTACATTCTCACTGCTGAGACAAAATATCTGACACGCAAAGTAAAAGGGAGAAAGGCTTATTTTAGCAAAAATTGCAGTTTTTAGAGGGTTCAATCCATAGCTGACTGCTTCCTTAGTCAGCTGGCAGAAGAGAAACAGTCCACAGCAGGGCTGGAAGGAAGGCAGCAGTGAGCCTGCCTTCTCTCTCTCCCTTTATACAGGCTACAAAACTGCTAATCTGTACCCTGAGTAGGGCTGTGTTTTCAGTAAACCTGTTCAGCTGCACCCAGAACTCTGCCAATACAGTCAGTGGACAAATCAGTTACCACACACCCTTAATCCATAGGCATACTCTCTAGGTCCAGCCAACTTCAAACAGCCCCATCTACGAGCCCATGAGCTTTGCAGGGACGTCTAGAACCAAATCAGCACAAAACTGTGGTAGGATGTCAAGCTAATTTTTCTTTCATAATCATTGTTTTCTTTAATGAGATTGCATTATTTTTGTAATCATGAAAAATCAAGTTCCTTAAAAACCCTTAGAAATTACACAAGAAATGTTGGCTGCCTTGATGGCAGCTGAAGGCTGAGCTCTGTAATAATTTAAGAATGACCCTGATGCGCCTCTGTGGTTTGGTCTCAGTGATAGTGAGACTGCGTGTACCTCTATCTGGATATCATGTCACAAAGTTTTTAAAGCTACAATGATACAGCACCACTCTGTGTAGCTTTTGCTTACATTCATTAATACTGTTTCCTTCCATTTTGACATCATAATGCAGTCTTTGTGGACTTACAATGGCATTGTCTTGACAATTCTGCAGTGAGATGCAGAATTAATCCTGGGCTTTTCTTTGTTCCTGGACTTTCAACTTGCACCCTACCTCTGGAATCCCTCTCTTTCTCCATACTCCCATGCACCATGTTTTTATTATTAGCACAGTCTGTCAGCAAAGTGACGTCTAGGCCAAACCTTGAGTCATTTGAATCTCCGGATGCCAAGTCTGTTTAGTGAGATTCTAACTAGGAATTGGGATTAAACAAACCTCGCAACAAGTCACTGCTGTTTCCCAAAAACCAATTTTATTATTTCCCTTTCTTCTAACCCTTCTTTTATTTTTCTTTTGTAAATACTTCCCAAGCACTTTCCATGAACCTGCCAATGATACTTGGTGAGTTTTTAGCAGCAAACATATAGACAATATTTGCATTCACAGGGCTTAGAATTTGTGGGTAGAAACAAATTATATGATTCTTTCGACCCTTTTTTTTCACAATTCAGGAGGCTGGTTACCCGAGCCCAAGGCACAAGCAGGTGCAGTGTCTGGTGAGGGCCTCTTGCTGTATTTTCCCTGGGCCCTCCCAGGGGAGGAGAGGTGAGGAAGCTCTTTGGAATCTGTTTAGCAAGGGCATTAATCCCATTCACAAAGCCCCACTCTCCTGATCTAATCACCTCCCAGATATCCTACCTCTGAGTCCCATCACACCTGGGTTTAAGTTCCAACATGAATTTCAGGGCCACATCAACACTGAGTACATAAGACCACTTTTTTTTTTTTTTACTAGAATACCCTTTTTAGTTGGCAAAAATAACTGCCAGACAAATTATGGTTTTTCACGTTTAGATATTTGGCATACATTGTCACAAACCATATAGAAGCCTATCACTTCCAGAAAAATAAGTTAACATTATTTGTTATCAACAATAAAATTTGAGCTTTCATGAAACAATGAAAGTTATTCACCACCATGCACTTGGCGAGATCACTGGTGATATTAACCAATTTGATTTTTTTCCTGTTGTATGGTAGAATATGTAAATCCTTATAATACATGCATTCCCAGTAAGCTGTTATTTTCTAAATTTTTAATGTATGATTTTAAAAAATCATGGACAGGCACAAGATTCATTTGAAGGGTACCCAGATCACTGGATTTTGTTGAACCTGAGCATAAAGTATGACTGACACACATTCAGGTTCCACGTTTTGCTTATCATATGAGAAATTCCCACTGGTCACGTTGTGATGTAATACCAGAGAAAATATCGATGGTAGAGACAGTCCTCCTCGTCTCACTCCATGAAGCTGGATTCTTTCAGCAACTTCCTTTAAAATAACGGTAACAACAGACTCAGTGAAGAAGCAGGACTGAGACTCTACGCACTCTTTACTAAACCAGACACTAAAGAGATTTGCAAAAATATCAAGTAATGGTACTCTGTCCACTAATTATTTTTCTGGAAAATGTATTTTTAAATAAAGTCTTACTTATGATGATCTATAATGGACTAATTATAATTTTAAATAGTTTAATTTTTTTAAAAATACCAGTTTTTATTTTGAGTTCAGTGAATGTCAGTAGATGTGGTCCACTTAACAGTTTGCTGGGATTTTGGTTGGTGTGTAAGCCCGTGAGAGGTGCTGAGACAAAAGTTGGAGAACCAGTGTTCAAGGCAATATAGTTTCCCTGCTTTTTCATGCCTTTTTGCTTAGGGTTTTATCCTCAGCATTGTGACTGATCATAAGTAGCAGTGCATTGCCTACGTAGCGTGAAATTTAAAGCATTTCTCCTAGAGAGAAAATTGTGCTCTTGATCCCAGCCAGGGTGCCTGGTTTCCTGAGGGAGCCTGCGGCCGTTCAACTGGAAGGGGACCTCCTTCCACCGGGGGCCAGCAGTGGGTGATCTTGTTCTGTGTTCCTGCTAATTGTATTTACCGCCCAGTTTGTTATAGTGACTGAATGACCTAGTCCAGGCAATACTGCAGCATGTAATGTGAGGTCTGATCAAAAAATAAGGTGAATGCGTAAGCTTTAAAAATTTATTATAGTAAAAGGCACATTGTCATTAATTCCCCTCAAAATACTCCCCTTCATGTCAAACACACTTACCCCATCCTTCTTGCTACTTTTTGAAGCAGTTCTGAAAGTTCTTTTCAGAGGATCTTTAGTGATGATGTTGTAAGAGTCTCCAAGTTCTGAGCTAATCAAAAATGCTTATTTTTTAATGCTCATTTTGACTTTGGGGAAGAGCCAGAAGTCACAGCGCCAAATCTGATGAATAGGGTGGATAAGGAAACCTTGTAATGTTTTTGATAAAAATTGTGTTAAACATTTTAAATTGATTCAGGGTATCAAGGCAGTCAGAGAAAGGATTTCCAGAGCCGCTTCAGAAAGCAGCCAGAGGGATGAGATGTGTGTTTAAAGACAGGGAGAGTATTTTGGGGGATATTAATGACAAAGTCTTTTATTAAAATACACTTAAAGACTTTTCAAAAATTTAAACATTCATCTTAATTTTTGGTCATACTTCATACTTAAAGTCACCTTTTAGTAAACACATCATAGACATTTTAGCATCTTTTGAATTACTCTTTTGGGGATTCTTTCTTTTTCTTTTTTTTTCCTTTTTTTTTTAGTGGGGGAGTGAGTTGAGACAGGATCTCAATATGTACTTTAAGCTAGTCTCGAACTCACTATGTAGTCTGGGCTGGCTTTGGACTCGAGGCCGTCCTTCTGCCTCAGCCTCCTGAATGCTGGGAGTGAAGGCTTGCTCCACCACACCTGGCATGGGTCATATTATTTTTAATATAGTTTTATAGATGAGAAAACTTTAGCTCAGAGAGGATTCCAAAGTCAGCAAGGTGGATGGAAACTCAGTCTTCTGACCCTGGACCCCATGTTTCTGACCACTGTAGTTTTGTACTGTGGCTTTTCAGAATGTTAGCTCTCCTCAGGACACAACTTCTGAAAGTGATAATCATTTGTTCTATTGGGAATGGACACAGTATGAAAGGGATACTTTACATAAACCCTTCCACATTACATCAGCATACGATGAGAGCACCCTAAATGTCCATTCCTCTTTTCCCCTCAGTGACAGGAAAACGTGCACAACTTTCTCCTCTACTTAAATTCTTCACTTTGGAATTGATGTAGGACTCTTTCTTGTATTTAGGAGAGTAAGTCGAGCGGTGACCCCTGCAGCAGTTTCCTGCCAGCTGAGCAACTGGTCAGAGTGGACAGATTGCTTTCCATGCCAGGACAGAAAGGTAAAGCATTTGTGACCAGCTGGGGAGAATTTCTTCCTTGATCTGTGGACTAGGAATTCAAATGGAGATAAGTATCTGGAGCTGTAAACACAGAGACCTAGAGAGAAAGTATTTGAACTAGGCATTTGGAGATCTCAGGTACCTGGCTGGTGACATTTGTTTCCGTCTCTTTTGGTTTTTCATTGGGTGACGCCATGAACGATGTGTGTGTTACAGGCACAGGCAGAAAAGTGGCCGCTGGTATAGGCACATCTATCCCCAGTGGACTTCCTGGGTCCTGGTCAACTTGTTGCCCTCTAGCGAAGGTCACCTGGAGGAATCGATGATGGCTAAGTAACAAGATGCTAAGTGGTTTGCAGGCAGCTGAGTAACAAAATAAGAAGCTGTCTCCATGGAGGTGAGATAGCTGAGGGCATGCCACAGCAGGGTACCCAGCACACCCACCCAAGGGACAGAGCAAGTCCTATCTTACCCCTCTGAGTGGTTTTGAATGGCCCAAAGTGGGCCCTAACCCCGTGGAGGGGCACCTCGGGAGCCCTCTCTTCTGGTGAAGAGCAGGATTAAATTTCTAATGTTGTTCAACAGCACTGGATCACTGTGGTGCTGGGGAACAACCTAACTCTCACTGGCTCTCAGTGGTGACCCAGGCAGGCTGCGTCCCCCTCCCTCCTTACTATGGCCACCATTGCCCTAAGGTTGTCTGCTGGTCGAATTCTTCAGCCAATGTCTGCAGTTTAGCTTGGCTTTTCCTCTTACCAGCTGCAGGACTTTGGGCATATTTTATGCTATCTGTGCCTCAGTTTCCTCATCTGTAGATGGGAGTAGTAGCAGTATCTGTGGTGCAGAGCTATCATGAGCATTAAGTGACTGAGGTATGCACAGGGCTTTCCACAGCATCTGAGGCAGCATGGGTTTGATGAGCACAGAGCTGTTCCGTGTCAGTGCTCTCTTGAGCCCACCTCCACCACCTTGGGTCAAGCCCTGTTCTCTGTGGAGCGCCAAGCTTCCTCCAGACCCAGCACTCAGTTGGGCCCACAGTTGCTCTGTGAATGTCTTCTATGAGCTGTTAAAAATACAGGTATAGGAAATAGTGGAAACACAATTTGGACCTAGTTTATTCAACTTCAAAATTTGAAATTCTCTATTCAGTTCCCTTCACGTCTGAAAAACAGCAGAAGCCCTTGGACTGCCCTTATTTAAGGTTTCCAGACCCCAAACTCTCATCTCACCCTGAAACCTGCATCTACTTGCTGAGTCAAGTGAAGTAAAATGTCAAGAACTTCAGGCTTAAAATAATGGAAATGTATCCTCTCACAGTCTGGAGACCAGAAGTCTGAAACTGAGGTGTCAACTCCCTTTTAGAGGGAGCGGGGAGTCTCTTCGGGATCTCTTTCTGCTTCCGTACCCTGTGCCTGCTCGCTCCTGTCTCTGCTCCTGGTCACCTCGCTTCCCCTTATTCTGCATGTCTTCTCCTCTGCTTGACTCCTCCAAGTTTCTCTCTGCCTTCCTTTGTGATGACATGGGCTGGCATTAGGGTCACTCAGATAATGCAAGATAATCGCATCTCAGAAACTTTCATTCTGTCTGCAAAGCCTTTTTCCAAACAAGGACATATTTCCATATACAATAGATTAGGACTTGATATCTTTGTGTGAACATTATTCAACCTATTACACATTCTAAACTCAGTTTTTTCTCATGTGTTTCAGTTCAGATAGCAGATACCACAAGCAAATTGCTCACAGCTTAAATCAGAATTGAATTATCTCTTGAGTGACTCAAAAAGACATGTGTGTCTTTAGAGCAATCTAAAGATAATTAAATTCTGTTAATTATTTAACTAAAAGGACCACCTTAGTTTCTTTTTATTAATATGTTTCTTCCTCTAAAAATCACCCAAAGATGCACAGCTCTGGAAGAAAACATCACCCACGAGCTAGAAAAGAAAATTATGTCTTAATGACGCTGATTACAGGTGAAAGCATGGTGGATCCAGACAGGAGTATCAGCACTAACCTGCCTGGAGCCCCACATCTTCACCCTTCGATAGCGACCTAGAAAGTGAGGACCCAATTGAAGTGAATCTGAAGGCCTACAGCATCAACTCCAAGCACAGGAGTCCCCAGTTATCAAATATATTCTATGGACTGGGCATGGCGCTAATGCTTTAAATAACCAGATTGTGTAACGAAGACACATTCTGCCCACTGAAAAGGAAAGATGCTTTCATGCACCTTGTGTAGGTCATATATTACAGTGGCAGATTTCAACGTTGGTCAGTCCAATTCTAAATCCCTGGCAGGTTAACCACTCCTTTCAACTGCATTTATTAGCTCAGTGCTCAGAAGCTAAGGCAGGAGAATCACAAATTCAATACCAGTCTAGGCTACCTAGTGAGATCCTATCTCATAAAACAAGCAAAATGCCTGTGTGGGAGAGGAATGATAGACATCAGCAGCCAATGAATCCACTTCCTTTTAGAACTGCCCTGAGCGGGCATGAGGGTGGCAATGTTGACGACTACCATGTGAGTGCTGTTACCTGTGTGATCACTTATCCTGGCGACACTCACATACACCTCACTTTACAGACGAGAAAAGTGAGAGCTTGAGACACCAACTGACTCATGCAGTAATGTCTGTACAGCCAGGGGCAAAACTGGAGCTCTAACACGGCTTAAAGTGGGCTCACAACAGCAGGAGCCTCATGAACGTGTGACAGGGCAATGAGATGAAGAAGATAAAGTGTGTGGCTACCATAAGTGCTGATGGTGGCTTCATGGTTATCATCACGGGTAAGTACATCAGTGAAAAAGTGGATAGACTTTAAAAGTGAAAAGGAGAATACTCAACATGTGAAAGTTCATCACTCCTGTATTTGTACACTGAGTGACAAGATTGTGGGGAAAAAATGGAAGTATTCTGATGTATCAGTTGGGGTTACACAGATTTACTAAGGCAGGCTTGCAATGGCTGCCTGTGGAATCCAGAGTGGAAATATGCAAACCGGCTGCCTGCGTGCTGGGCAGCTGGAGGATCCAGTGGGAGATCGTGGGCCTGGAGCTCATAGCGGAGTTCAACACGTGTCCATGTTCGGAAGTCAAAGGTCTACATGGAAGGCTGGAAAGCCTCTGCTAGCAGACTGAAGGAACTGGGTACAGATGTCCAAAGGCAGCAGCAAAGACTGGGGCTCTGAAGAAGATGAAAAGGAAGACTTCCTTCTTTCCCTTTTTATTCCATTCAAGGTACAAGTCTATTGGTTGGTGCCACTCACACTCACTTTGGTCTTCACTCCTCACTTTGTGACCTACCTATCAATCATTCACAGACACACCCAGAGATTTACTAAGCTTGGCAGTTCTTAAGCCAAGTTGACATATCACAATTAACAAAGATATTTGGTATGCCCAAATTAGTCATTAATTAAATTGATCATTAATTTATTATTGGTCATTAGTTAAAATCTCCTTGTACTTCTGACCAGATCAGCACTTCTGACCTAGCCGAAAGAGAGGAAAAGAGGTTTCATTCTTAACTCTCCTAGAGTCCTCTGCCTCTTCCAAGGAGCAGCTAAGTAGACAGCAACAGGACTGTTATGGTAAGAATGTGGTCTGAGGGTCCCCCAAATCTTCACATGCTGAAGTTTAATCTCCAGGATGAGGTATTAAGATGGGAGAGACTTAACTAAAATATGATGATTTGAAGGAGAGTCTTGGGAGGTGATTAGGATTTAGTTAGGTCATTCATGTGAAGCCCCATCATTGAATCTAGTGGCTCTACAAAAAGAAAAGATAGACAGACACATACACACACATTCACATTGAATCTAGTGGCTTTATGAAAATAAAAGATAGGCAGACAAGACAGACAGAGAGACACACACATTCACACTCATGAACACACACACACTTTCTGTCTATCATCATGTAAATATCTTGCATTTCACCACCACCTTGGGTTTCTGCCGGCAAGAAGACCACTTCCGTCCTGATAAAGCCCCTGAACCTTGAACTGTCATAACCATAAATGGAATCAATCCTCCTTTCTTTATAATTTACCATTCCTATGATCTTGTTTGGGCAACAGAAAATGGTCTAATACAGGCCAAGAGGGGAAGGACACTGCTCCTCTCCCCATCTTTTTCACTGGAAACATCTGGAATAACAATACTGCTTAGACACCAGTGATCTACCAGGCACAGGGCCAAGTGCTCCCTCCCATGTTTCTGCCTCTTAGTTCTCAAACAGTGTCTTCACAGGAGGAAGCAAAGCTCAGGAAAGGTAAGTGACTTATTCATTGTCAGTTGGTGAGCAAATCTAGAATCTGAACTGAAGTCTACTAATTCCCATGCCCAACCTCTGTCAACTTAGGACACAAGTGAAAGAAACATTAGCTATGGTCAGTGAGGTCATCTGGAACAAAACTCCTTATGCTATAGGCATGAAAACTGAGCCACAAAATGACAAAATTGAATACTTCACGCATGAAGTGAAAAATAGATTAAAGTGCGCAATTCCCTGCTGCTCAGCTCATGTCTTTCTTAGTTACGCACTAACATTCTTGCAGGAAGCATTTGTGGGGCTGAGCCAACATCTGGGGCAACAAGCAACCCCTCAGGGCCACATCTTTTCCTACTGGGAACTCTGTGTGAATGATCTCACAGCCTATTTGGTATCATTGCATCCTATCTCCTTGACTAGATTCCAGTTACCTGGAAGGTAAAGATGGGACCTCAGATTCCTCTGAATAATCCAAAGTTTCAACTTCCTCATTTTACACTGGGCCTGATATAAAAAACTATGTAAAAAGCATTGTTATGAAACCCTAAAGTCCCAGAGGCAGTATGCATTTTAATTCTTCTCTTCTTTCCATCAATCAATATGTATTAATTGCAGTCAATCCTAGAACCAGGGATATGGATGGTGACTTTAGAGTTCTTGTGGTATCTCTATTCTTGGGTGGACTCTTTATGCAGAATAGGCAAAGTGACCACTTAATGCTCATATTCCCTGAAATCTTCCAAAAATTGAAATACCCAGAGGATTAAAGCCATTATTACAACTCGCCACACGTGTCTACCTGGTGGGCCCAGCCCAGTTAACCACATCCCTGCCACTGTGGAGGTCAAGTCATTCCCACCTGAACTGCAGGAGACACAGCCCATGGAAAGATGCCATGACATGATGGGAGAAATGTCTCTGACCACAAGTTGCTCAAGTGTCAAGTGTGTGAGCCAAGTAGGACACAGTCTTTCCTTCACTGCCTGTAACCCCCTGTGCAAGTTGTTCATAGATTGGTGGGAGTGATAGGCAAATAGTGGGTGCTCCTTCACGTATGACAAGTACTGGGGAGAGAGAGGCACACAGTCCTGCAGGGTACATGGCCAGGTCAGGGAACCTGTCCAGGAGACATAGACCAGGAGTCTTGAAAGAAGAATGTTAATTGACTAGTTGAAGATTAGAACAGAGGTCCTTCTCAGCGATCTTGCTACTGTAGGGTCTTTGTTCCAGTCTGTCACTGGCTGCTGGAAGTTCTTATTCAGTATGCCAGCTGGTGACAATGCCACCTCTGGCAGCACACCACTGCTTGTGCACACCCACCCCACAGAAGACAGCTTTGTAGGCAGCTCTCAATCACCGATAGTACTCCTTATGTTGAGCTGAGACCCGCCTGCACAAACCTTGGTTGATTGACAAGAATATGTCTGGTTCACAATCTAATTTAGTACCGATACCGGAGCCTCTTGCAGCCTGACAAGTTTGGGGGAGCCATCTGCAGTGGTGATATCTGGGACCAAGCCAGCTGCAATAGTCCTACGCCTTGTCTAAGGCAGCCACAGTGTGGACAAGATTTCCAGTGTAAAGAGACAGGTGAGTAGCATTCCAGGGGGACACCAGCTGTGCCTGTCTAACTTAGCATGCAAAGCACTTTCCCAGAGATCCTGTTAAAATGCACACTGTAACTTCTTCCCATAGAAGTTTCCTTTCAGAAGGTTTGGGATAGAGCCTAGGAATATACATTTTAAGCCAAGCCAGCAGCCCAAGTCATTTTGATTCAAGTCTGTAGGAATGCTTGTGTGATCGTTTAGAAAATGTACAATTAATCCACTCATTGAGCAAGTACTTAATGGGCACATATTATGTGCCAAACCATGTACAGCATGCTTCTGACACAAAGCTGAAAACATAATGCCCCTTCCCTGAGGTCCTCCTAGTCTGTTTGGGAGATGATGATTACAGTGGCATAAGATAGCCACTGTAATGGGCATGTAGCTACAGTCCCATGGGCTGCAATGGGAGGTGCCCAGGGCAGGCTTCCATGTGAGCTTGCCTGTGAGTAGAGGCCCAGGAAATAAAATAGAATTTTCTAAGGGAAAGAACATGCCATACATGTAGATTCAGTGACTCTCAATTCATTCCAGGATATTTTCAGCATCAGAGCTTTGGAGGAGACAAGAGACAGGGGCAGGCAGGCACCTGGAGGCTGGGCTGTGGTATTTGGAAGAAGAAAGATGTGGAACCCCTAGAAGACACACAGTGAGGAGATGAGATTGCCAGCCCGGTGCTGCAGAGATTCTTGGGACCACAGTGTGGAGGCAGATTGAGCAGGGGAAGGCAGGCCAGAGCGGGGCCCACAGGTGGGAGGTAGCGAGACTCCAAGGAGGGCGGAGGCCATGGGGACAGAGGAGAGTCTGTGGGGGCACATCTTGGGTTGAAGAGGCCGGGAGACTATAATAGGGAGGGGAGCGGGGAGCATCCACAGCTTCTCTCGCTCAGGTCGCTGCCTGAAACGGTACCTTGTGTGTAATGGACATAGTGACTGTCTGGATGGCTCTGATGAGGACAATTGTGAAGACATCAGGGCTGCCGAAGATGACTGCAGCCAGTACGAGCCGATTCCTGGATCAGAGAAGGTGGCCTTGGGGTGAGAGCCTGCTTACAGCTACTCAGGGGCAAGGAACGACTTCCCTTCTGACACAAGCATTAGTTCTGGGGACACAGAGGGACTGTTCGTGGGGTTTTTCTGGGTGCACCTGTCAGAAGCTTTCACTGTCGCCAAGGGTGGCTTGCATGGTCCTTACCCTCTGTCTCTGTGCAAGGGACCTGGCTCCCGTCTCCCCTCCCACTCCACTGTCCCTTTCCCTTCAGCTGATTCCTTTGTGAACCCACATCTTCCATGAAGCCTTCTCTAAGCTTCCAAAAGGCATCACATCCTGCACACAAGCATCCTCTCTGGTGTCCCAGTCCATAGTCTGCTTTGCATGGTTGGTATTTGCAATATGGTGCCAGGGAAGTGGGCTTCGCGTTGAGACAGAAAGGACCCGGAACCTCTGCCTTGACATTGTTTGCTTTGCCTCCCACACTACCGCTGTGCTAGCTGTGGAGATTAAACCAGCCTGCAGTCTCATTTCTCCTCTCACCAACCTTACTTCCAGGCTCAGTTCCTAGAATGCATCATTCTTCCCTTCTGAGCCTGAACTGCATGTATTAATGTAGTTCCTTCCCTTGAAATGTGCTTCCCCATACCTCTAACCTGGCTAGCTCCCTGCCCAGCAAGAGGAACTGAGTTATGCACCCCCATCTCCCCTCGGTCTTATGTTGATGCCCTGACTCCCAGTGACTACTCAGAGACGGAAATTTTAGGGAGGTAATTAAGGTTAAAGAGGTCATAAGGGTATGGTCCCGATACAACAGGACCAGTGTTTAAACAAGGAAGAGGAGATGGTGGGGAGGAAGAAGACATAGAAGGAGAAGAAGAAAAGGCGAAGGAAGAGGAGGAGGAAGAAAACAAGGAGAAGGAAATACATTTTTCTTTTTCCACATATTCATGGAAAAGAAGCTATGTGAGGACCCAGAGAAATGCAGCTGCCTGTATTCCAGGAAGTGGGTCACCAGAAAGCACCTATGAAGGTTCCTTAACTTTCAGCTTGCAACCACTGGAACCATGAGACAGTCCGCTTCTGTAGTTCAAGCTGGCAGTCGGTGATAGGTTGTGAAGGTGTCCCACATCCTCAGGTCCTGTAAGGTTAGCCCTTCTCGGCAGTCCTGGCCAACAGTGCCCACGTGCTGTGACCCTGCTGGGTCCAGCTTCGCTCCTCTGTCTGCTCCCTGACCTGCTGACCCTGCTGCCCAGCATGCATCCACCAGGGCTGGAGATGCTGCCTGGGTGGAGAGCTCCTTGCCATCTGTCTTTCTGCAGGTCCCAGCCCAGACCTAGTTCAGAGTGGCATTTTGGTATTGTTAGGTCACCTCTGAGAGAGCAGGGCTTGCTTCCAACCCTCCTGTCCATCCCCTCAGCCTGTGTCCAGGGTTATCTACACAGTTTCTCACTAAGCTTCAGCGGCACTGGGCACTGAACACATCAGTGTGGCCAGGTGGCTCTTTATAGATAAGGAGATGGAGGTGAGCTATTGTCACTGGGGCCTAGCAAAGCCCTTTCAGGGACTGGTGTGAACTCTGCTGGGCGGCGCTCTCTGTCAGGGTTTAATTGCTCAGAGATCACAGCCCTTCTACCAGAGAGGGCAGAATGGGGACATGCACATATAAACAGAGGAGATGTTATGCTCTCTTTCGGATTGCTATAGCAGGATACTCTCAGCTGTGTGGCTTAAATAACAGAAATGCAGTTTTTCACAGCTTTGCAGGCAAGAGAGTGAAGATGGAGAGGTCAGCAGTGCAGCTTTCCTGCTGGGCTTGCAGATGACCAGCGCTTCCCTGGTCCTCATGTGCTCTTCACTCTGTGCATGTCTGCACCCCAGCTTCATCTTCCGAGGACACCATGCACATGGGCAGAGGCCCATCTTTTAGCCAACTCTCACATTTCTGTTCTATTGACAAAGTCACAATTGGTCATAGCAAGTGGCAGAGCATGGAATCGTATGGGCACCTCCTGGACCTGCGCACTCAGGCCCTGCAAAGCCACCGTCCTTCTGAGTATTGTGCATTAGATTCAGCATAAACTTTATCCCCAGTAGCAGAGCCCTTTTCTGAAAAAGCATAAATAGTAACAGTAGTAACCTTTATTCAGTACTTAATCTATGCTAAGCTCAGTTATGATCCTCTGCAGCACTTAACTCTGTGGAGATGGTAGTGTTACTGATCGTTTTTTTATACAGGCTAATCTGCAGCCAAAGATAAGACGATTGGTTGTGCACAGCCAGAGGTGGCAGAAACCACTGCTCCCACTACCTGCAACAGTGACCTCCAGAGGACATGATCTACAGCCTTTGCCTTTCCAAAGCTCTTTCCTAGCCTCTGTCTCTTTTACGTAGGTACAACATTCTGACCCAGAGAGAAGCCCAGAGCGTGTATGATGCCAGGTATTATGGGGGCCAGTGTGAGCCAGTGTACAACGGTGAGTGGAGGGAGCTTCGGTATGACCCCGCCTGTGAGCGGCTGTACTATGGAGAAGACGAGAAGTACTTTCGGAAGCCTTACAACTTCCTGAAGTACCACTTTGAAGTAAGAGAACAGAGACACTCTCAGGCTCCCAGGGGGTAGCGTCTGGAGGGAGAAGCTTGTCAGTGGAGACATCTGCTACAGAAGCTCTTCCTTTCCGCAGAGCTTGCCAGCGACCCCTTTCCACCTGTCCCCAGGGCCAGCTCAGTGTCAAGGGGACAGGAAGGAAGGTGAGGTCAGGAGGAGGGGAAACAAAACACAGCCACTCACCTGCGCTTCATCCTGAATCACACATTGGCTGTGGGCCCCGTCCCCGGCTCCTGGGCAGAAGCCCCAGCTCCAGGCTGCAGCTCTGCTAGACTCTACCTGTGCAGGGCTGCAAGTGGCTGCCTCCTGCTCCTCCTTCTTCCCTTCCATCTTCTGCAAAGTGAGGGGCTGGGCTCAGAGATCAGTGCCCAGCTCACGCTGGTCATTCTTATGTCTTGCTTTCAGTATATAATTTTGTTTGAAAACAGGGTTCTTCTGTTTAAAAGTGCTCACAAGTTGCCAGTAGCCCCTCAGGCACTCATCTCTCAGATCCTGCACTCTCGTGGTCCCCTGATGTCACACAGACCAGTTTCAGGGCCTGCTGAGGCCGCCCAACCCTGGCTTTCTTCCTATGGCTGAGTTGTCCATACAGCCACGGCCACCAAGTGCACAGACCTCTTGCTTCCACACTCCCCCATTTAATCCTGATAACAACTCATCGGGATAGATACGACCATTGCTCCACTTTATTACAGAACAAAGAGAGGCAAAGGAATAAAGTACCAGCCTAAAGCTGTGCTGTGCTGCACATCATAGATAAGATTCAAACCCCAATCGGTCTAAACTAAGCCATTATGCCTCTAGCAACAGATGTCAGGACAAAGGAATCTTGAACAGTTACCTAGCCATGTCCTGTCCATCCCCACATTTAGTGAAAGAAAATAACTGATGGAGGATGATGGCAGACCTGTGGGCCCTGTGCTGAAGCAGTTTGCTTTCCCAGCTCCACACCTTCCTATACCCCAGATCAGGACAAACCAGAAGATGCAATGTCATTTTCCTAACCTCAAGGAAGACCTATGTCCCTGTGTAAGCAAGATGGACTAGGAACTCAAAATGTGTATTTATAGACAAAAAAGTGTAGATAAACAGGATGCAGGGAGAAGTTCAAATAATTCCCCAAGTTACCTACTCCATTGTTTCAAAAATATTTTAATGCATATACTAATTTGTTTCATTTATATTACTAGCTTCTCCTAGTTCATTGAAAAGAAAGTTTTGCTATTAACTATTTGTTTCTTCTTTGTAAGAGACAATCTTCTTGGCCCATGTTTTGTACTGAAGGTACTTTGAAGATAGTGATACACAGTATAGTAACTTGTTATTTTCATATTTATTTTGTTATGAAATTTTGTTTTTTTCTCACAAAATAAAATAAAGGCCATTCTGTGAGCCCAAAGGATCCCCAAGTCCTAGGGGTTTGAAGCGGTCGTGTCTTGCTCATGGGACCTGTACATCCCCATGGGAAAAGGAAGCACCACAGACATGAGGGACTTGTTCAGCACAGGCTCTGGGGCTGCAGGACCAACTAATCACCAGCTCTGGAGATTTGTTTCCAGGGCTCCAGGGCTTGAAACCACATCTCAGAGCTGAAGTCAGTGGGGAAATACAACCCTGTTGTGCGCTGGCCTGGAGTAGTTCAACACTGCAGGTCGTTCTGAAGCACATGGCTGCTTAGAACAGAGGCGGTGAACCCAAAGGGTGCCTGCCATAGCTGGCTGTTATCATGGAAAACCCTGGTGCTCATCATTGGCCAGGTCTCCTTGCCTCTTTCCTCCCAGACCAGCCTGCTCAAGGGGCACTGTACCTCACTGTTTGGAGGCGAGCACCTTCCCTAGGAAGGACGAGCCAGCTAGAAAGAGCCACACTTAGAACAACATAGTGTTTTTTTTTAAAAAACTAGAATAGATATATATTTTAAGCATACTACTAAATACCTACTGACATTGCTGTGTTTTATGCATTTTGGTGAATATCAATCTAATATCTAGATTAGCCTTTTTAAAGGATTTCTTATTATAATCTGAAACTTCATGAAGTAAAGTCTTAAATGCTAAATATGAGATGAAAAATAGCTATGTGTGCATAGAGCTAATGTTGATTTGTTTCTTTTTAGGCCATGGCAGATACTGGAATGTCTTCAGAGTTGTATGAGGATGTAAATGACCTTCTTTCTAAAATAAAAAATGACAGATTCCAGTCAAATGGAATAACTGTTGGCATAGGCCTAGAAAAGTTTTTGAAGGGTCTTTCCAGTGTAAACGTGGGAGTATCCTGGTCAGAAGACTCTTCATTTTTGAATAAGTTAAGCAAGTATAATGAGAAGGTATTAAAACACAATGCCCATGTCTCACACAGCTCCATAATCTACACTGAGCACGTATTACCTTAATTGCATTAAAAAGTACAGTAGTGATTGAACCTTAATTTGCTTGTGTAATTGGAAATGTCTGATCAGTGGTAATCATGTTTGTTTTTCTTATTACACTTCGGCACATAGGATCGTCACAAAGGAAATAAAATTGAATGATAAGGCTCTTATCACTTCACCCCATCCTTTTCCATGGTTACCTGGAGCTTATAGGAATAGGCATAGAGTGTGATGTGGTAAAGAGAAACAATCAGACCCTCTCAGTTTGACTTGGAAGGTTTCTAATGAAAGTCTTCCTGTTTCTCCAAGTAGACAAGGGGGCTGGAATGCTCAATAAATCTTTCATTTAGTCATCAAACATTCAGCACTAAGTACCTATTATTCAGAGGATTGCAAAACGCTTCCTTGGAAAAGACATCTATCTAAACTGAGCTCTAAAGACAAGTGCAAGATACCCAAACAAAGGGAGATGGACACTGAAAACAGAGTGTAGCAATCAGCTTTCTGTCACTGTAATAAAATGTCTGAGATGATTAACCTAGAGAAGAAGTACTTACTTAGCTCACAGCTCTGAAGCTTCCAGTCTGAGCTTGGGTGTCACTGGCGGGGTGGCCCTCCTCAGGGTGGTAGATGGCAATGGCAGGGAGGAAGTGGTGGGGTGAACTGCTTACACGGTGAGCCAGGATGTGAAGAGTGAAGGAGAAAGGATCAGGGTCTCATGGTCCCATTTCAGTGCTGGCCCTGGTGATTAAGGAGCTTCCCGTCGCTGTAATGGAAGGAACTTCTCCACTTGCCAAATTCTCACACTCCTAAGTCAAGCCTCCCTGGGGACCAAACCTCTATCACATAAACCTCTGGGATCTTTCAACATCAAAACTATGGCACTGCATTAGGAATGGGAATCCTCGGGCACAAAGGCTTAGAAAGTGCTTCAAAGTGCAAATGCATAGCAGGAGCCAGGAAAGCAAGGTTTGATGAAAAAGGACAGTTAGCCCGGAGTTAGACAAATGGTATAGAATTGATGAGAAATGCACCAAAACACCCCAACATTGCCAATACCAGGATGTTGGCTTTTGCTCAAATTCAAAAATTATCTTGGATGATGAAAATAAAGTTACAGAAGTAGCTACTTAGCAATTACGAATACTGAAGCTTTACACAAATGAGCTGTTGGTCTGTAGCCTGGATGTAGCTGCTCTGTAGTTCATGTTTATATGAACTTCTTTCTAAAAGTGGGTGGTCCTTTCCATCTTTTGCTATCATTTTTAAACCAAGATTTGTAGTAGAAATTTCTATAGAGGGAGTTTATTTCTCTGAAGCCACCCAATGTCCCTCTGGTCTCTCTTATTAGGTGAGATTCCTGCTTTTATTACTCTTCAGAGCAAGGTCAACCCTAGAATTCAAGTTCTGCGAGGGCAGGATCCTAACCCCGTGAAGATTATGCCCTCGTCAACCAGCAGAGACCATGAAACTATAGTAGATATCTGTTCCACACATTAAATTATGTGACATTTCATCATGCCACCAAAAGCACTCTAAGCATGTTGGTAATGGATACAGGGAATTTACGCAGAGGCCAGTGCTTTGACACGTGGGAGAACTGTGGAGGTGAGGAAGGACTGGGAACAGAAGAGAGGTAGGCAGCACAGGGAAGAGGTCACATAGGGACAAACAGCTCTTTTGTCATATAGTGAAGAGGAGAAGAAGAAAGCGTGGCCCATGCAGGGACAATGGAACAGAGATGGAAGCATCAGAGAAGAATTCGGGCCTTCACTGGATGTGCCCAGTGTGTGCTTATAAAATCCAGTAACACTTTGTGCTTTAATGTTTGGTGTTCTCCTTACCTACTAAACATTTTCCATTGTCTCACATGGTAAAATGTGTGTTGTCTCTGTTCTTTTTCCTTATCTTTGGCAGAAATATAGCTTCATGAGAATTTTCACAAAAGTACAGACTGCCAGCTTTAAAATGAGGAGGCACAAGATCATGCTGGATGAAGGGATGCTGCAATCACTGATGGAACTCCCAGAGCAGTATGATTATGGCATGTACTCCAAGTTCATTGATGACTACGGCACCCACTACATTACGTCTGGATCCATGGGTGGGACCTACGAGTACATCCTGGTGCTTGACAAAGCAAAAATGGAATCTCTCGGTAAGTAGAGCAGAAGCTACATGCACACTGGGACCGACACGTAAGTCAGGGCATGCTTTATAGTTGTCCAAGCCCTCACTCTGGGCCTTGGGCCATCCCACTTACTTTCCGTGATGACTCTGTAAGGTAGAATAAGTGTCATTATTTCCACAGAAGTGATATCTTTTGGGATGACTTCTAGTAAGCATCTCGTACAGGATTTGAAATCAGAATTGTCTAACTGCCTCCGTAGTATGTGTTCCTACTACCTCACAGTTACCTTTTAAAAAATAAAGAATTTGGGAGATTTTGTTATTTAAAATGTGAAAATGTATTTTAAATGTAAGCCTTTATTTTCTTTTTTTCTTCAGCTCTGGGGATTAATCTAGGGCTTCATGCACGCCAGGCAAGCACTCTACCACCTGATTATACCTCTTTCCCTTTGACAAACAGCATCTCACACCCTTTTTCTGTATTGGATATTTAGATTCTTTGTTAATGAGATTTCTATGTAGTCAGTTAGGGAAACTGAAACCTAGAAGCATCTTAGATTCCTCCTTCTCCTCTGCCCCTGTAATCTCCAGGGCCTTTCAGTTCTTTCCCATCTACTCCTCCTTTCTCTGTCCTCCCTCTTTTCTCTCTGTCCTCCTTCAGTGATAGGCTTGAACCCATATTTCATACCTAAATGCCCCTTTCAGGCTATTCTTAATGACTGTCACCAGACAACTCTTTTACATCACAGGCCTGGTAGCATCAGTTCCTTGCCTGGTACACTGAATGGCCCAGAATGACATCAACCACCTCCACCATGTCTCTTAAGCCACTTGAACAGTGGTTCTCCAAGTATAAGTCCCAATTGACCACTTGTTAGAAAGTGAATTCTCAGGCCCTGCCTCAAAGATAATTGAATAAAATACTGTTGGAATGAACTCAGAAAGCTGCGTTTCCAGCAGTCCTGATGCTTGCTAGAGTTTTAGAGCCAGCACCCTAGTCAATGAGTGAGTGGAACTTTGCAAAGCCAGTCCTACTGTAAAGCTAAGTTCAAATTCCCTCTTCCAAGATTCTTCCATGAGCTCACCAGCCCAGGCTGGGCCCTCTTTTTCCTCAACACATCCATATGTGTTCGGTGTTGTTTGGTCTTTAAACAATGACTTTCTAAATGCTGACATTTTCTTATTGTCTATGGGAAAGCAAATATCATTGCTGGCACTTTTCTACTACTTTAGCACTCAAGACAAAGCTTAATACATAGTGAACGCACAGAACAAAACAAGGAGCGTGAATCTATATTCCAGGCCAGGGCCGTTCATTAATTTGTCCATCTGCCCATCTACTCTTTCTTCTGTTTAAATAAATAATTCACAGTGCTCTACAGAGCATCAGGTACATTTGTGCCAGGATGTGATGTGGTTCCTATTCACTCAGAGCTGCAGTATTTTCAAAATTGCAAGTTGTGATCCTACAACAGGTCTCAAAATCAATGTATGAGTCAGGGCCAAAATTTTGAAGAAGAGCAACTCTACAGAATAGTATAGGAAACAGCCAACTTTGGGAATTAAATGTAAGTTGTTAGTTCAGAAACGTTTTCAGTTAATACGGACATGTGTACATGTACTACGTCATATACAAAATACTGCTATTGCTCACTGTGGAGCGTTGTTTAAAAAGGACAGGAAAAAGTCTTCAAATGGGTCTTTTTAGAATCATTAAAAATGCAAGAAAGGATAAAGAATTAACATTTGTTGAGCACTTACTGGGTTTCAGGTGCAATTACATCAATTCTCACTTAATTTTCTTGCTAACTCTTGGCATTCGGTATTAGGGGCTCATGCTCATCAGACAGGTGAATTACTTTGCCCAGCACTGCTGGAATCTGGCCCCAGATCTCCGGTCCTATGTTTTTCCCTTGGTGGTTTTAGGGTAGCCTTTCGTTTGGGCTGCAGTATTGGGTTACTAATTAATTGCCTGGGGTATGTGCAAACCCTTCCTCTTTACAATCTGTGAGGCAGAAATGGGCTTCCAATGTGGTTAATATGCAAAAGAAGCCCACCGACAAATTGTCCCAGGGATAATTACCTCAGCTCTGTTTATAAAAACCATATGTCGATAATAGCACAATTTGCTATTTGTGAAGAGCTGATTTTCTATAAATCCAGAAAGTTAGTGTTACTTTCCTATAAATATGGAAATGTGCTAATCATCATCTCATCTGCTGGAGACCGCTAATAAATCAGAATGTCATTTACATATTAACCTAAAAGAACAAAAACATCTACCTTCTTTCCTTTGACAAACAGCATCACACACACCCTTTCTCTCTGATGTCTAGCTAGTGTTCTTTTTCACATTTTTCATCACTCTTCTTTCTTAGTATCCATCTCTCTGTCTCTGTCTCCATTTTTTCTGAGTCTATTCTCATTGTCATTGTTTTTTTCTCCTTTGGTGTCTTTGATCAATGAGACTTTAATTTATATTCTAGTAAGTTCTGGCTTCCAAGAGACATCTGTGAAGTACATTTATGAACTCAAATGACCGAGCTTGCTGTAGAATGAGATAAGTGAACATAATGGTCTGCACTGGGAGAATCTTTTGTCCTTGCATGCCTCAGATCCTCTCTGGGACTATTCCAGAGGATGCATGATGGTCTTTTCTGATAATGTGGCCTCCAGATCAAATACTTCTTCCCCGAAGACAGCATGGAGCCATGCATCAAAAAGTCAGTGGGAGCTTTGGATGTTGGGGAGGCAATATCAGACTTACTGAGATCTGAAAACTTCCTCAAGAGCTGCACTGATGGCTTTCTACCTTCTACAGGAGCCAATATAGCTTTGGACTTGAATTTCTAGATCTGGATTTTTTTCTTCTTTTTTCCTTCATTGGAGTTTTCATCATTTGTCTTTGTGTCAAGGTGGGACAAAGAAAATAGTGCATTTTCCATTCCGGCCTCTCTAGAGCCCAACCCAGCTACAGAGCTGACAATTTATCTGGGCACATCAAGTATTTGAATGACATTTGTCTTAGCTATTTTTCTCCCATTGCTAAGACAAACCACCCATCACCCAAAATTAAGGAAGGAAAGAGTTATTCAGCTCACAGTTTGTGGAAGTTTCAATCTATAATCAGCTGGCTCCAAGGCAGGGTGACATGGCACAGGGGTAACACTTCGAGGCAGCAGAAGAAAGCAAAAGCAACAAGAACAAAAAGGAGAAGAGAAAAAGCAAGTTTCTTTCCCTCTTTTATATTGTATGCAGACTAACCAGCCCAGGGCTGGTGGAACACTCACCCATAATCCCAGAATTGGCTCATGAATCAATCACGAACTCCAGAAGCCTGATCCCATGACTGCATGAGGTTTTGGAGGGACATCTAGACACAACAGCACCCTTGTGTATTTTGTGATTTCTTCCTTTTGCAAGGCTGTTCCTTCCTTCCCTGTCTTGCTTACCTGCCCAACTTCAGCTCACCTTTTAGAACCCTACATGGAAGTGATGCTGAACCTGTGGCACATATGACTGCTTGCTATCATTGAAATTCTAAAAGGATTGCCATCACTGCTCTATAGGTATTCCTGCTTCTGGGACTCCTGCCCTGCCCTTCCCCTTCCCTTTATCCTATCTGTTGTTTGTTCATAACTTTGTGTAACTACGATCATTGAGTTTTCATCCTGTGTCAGGTAACAAAATCAATATGGTCCCCGTCTTTGTGATGATCATGGTCCAGTGGAGGAGATGAAATAATAAACAGCCACAAATTCTTTTTTTCTTGCTTGCTATTGGTGAGATCTGCCCATTTTACTCCTGAAATATACACACGTACCTTCCCCGCATCTCTGTTGCTGTCTCCTTAGTCCAAACCACCAATATCTCTCATCTGGATACTGCAGAAAAATGACAAGCTTTCCTTTTTTCTTTCCTTTTAATATTTCCTTTCGCTGAGGTCATCCTCATAGCTCCTACTGCACGGGGGCATAGTAATCTTAGCCAGGGGTCTTGTGTTGGCTGTTCCTGTCTCTCTATCCAGGCTGCTCCTGGCTCTGAGGTCCACACTGTAGTAGTCTTATCATCTAGACTTCAGCTTTAGTGCCACATTTTCAGAGAAGCCCTTCCTGCCCACGTGCTTAAGTCCCTCTTCGTTGTGTTACCTATCTTAGTTCTCAGCAAGTCACTATTTGCTTACTACTTTATACATATACGTATGTACTCACTGTCAATCTCCTTTTTCTGGAATGTGCATCTCATAAGAACAGGCACTTTATCTGTCATATTCTGTGCTACAGATTTACTTCCTCACACAGTGCCTGGCACATAGGAGGGAATTAATAACTGTGTTGAATAAGTGAATGAATGAATCAATCAAGATATAATTGCAAATTGTGCTAAGATCTATGTAGAAAAAGAATAGGTTGCAGACATTCAGAATAACACCTGGTGAGAAGAGTCGCTCATTGAGCTTATGATGATCTGGGAAAGCCTCTTTGAGGGTGAAATCCAAGCTGACATGAGATCCAAATTATAAAGAGCAGACATCAAGGACATGAGAGAAAGGGTTTGGAGCAGCATGGCCAGCTGGATGAAGGCTCTAGGGAGGGAGGAGCAAGGTAGCTTTGAGAATGAAAGATGCTTGAGCGACTGCAGACTTTTACTAAGGGAGGAAGAACAGGAACTCAGACTGTCCGAAGCCTGAAGGAGCCATCCAGGTGTTGCTGGTGTGGTAGGAAGTAGAGGCTGTGTGCACAGTGGCAGCGTTCTTCAGCAGGACACACTGTGTCTCACAGCAGGAACCCAGATTAAATGGACCAAGGGTGCGTTCAGTTTAGGAGGCTCTCACTGAAGAAGAACAGAGAGGGAAGAATGAAACACAAATGGAACATATTCTGAATATAGAATTTAAAGAATTTACAGAGGGGTGGGGTATGGATTAAGAGATATGCTCTTTCCTTGAAGTGATATTTCTACTGTACATGCATGTATGCACACATACACACACACACACACACACACACACACACACACACACACGGTGGAAAGAAGACATAATGTGTCTGCCTGGGGTTGCCAGTTTCCTGGTAGAGACACCTGCAAGAAGCTGATGGCAGGGGTGGGATTTGGGAGCAAAGAGCGGGTTCTGTCACCTCCAAGCAATCACAGAGTGTCCTTCTCACCTGTGTTCTTTGAATTCTTAAAAAATAGTTTTTGGTGGTACTGCGAGTTGATCCCGGATATTCAAGGCATCTGACTAAGGTCTGTAAATTAAGAATATGCGGGTGACTTGCTAGCTAGCAGTCTGAGCTTTACAGTCCAGATACACGGGGTAGAAATCTTCAGTTTTACTCCTGAGTGTGCCCCTGAGTAAGGCAGATACTGTGCCTTAATCTCAGCTTCTTGAAAACCCAAAGAGGGATGGTAACAAAGGCTTGTTTGAGTACACCTCCAGGAGCATGTTACATGAAAAGTTTTTGATAGACACATTTTCCTTTAGAGCAGAATATTACCATAGCACAGCAGTTAAAAATATGCCCTGCCACTTTCTAACTGTATGATCACAGGTAAAATTTTAAATATTTTAAGTCTCAGTTTCTTATTCATTAGCTGATGTTTATCACCCATATCATAGAGAGGTTGTGAGAAATAAGTGAATGTATCCACAGATAATATTGAGAACATTGTTCAGATTCTGAAAACCGAAGGTTTGAATCAAGTTGCTTGATTCAAGCCCTCTCTCTATCATCTATCATCCTTGTGAGCCACGGGCAAATCAGGTACCTTCTCTGGGTCTCAGTTTTCACTTCTCTAAAGGAGACAATGACAGTACATACCTCACACGGGTATTATGGGTATGATGTGAAGCAAAGTATATGCCGCGTTGGCCATGTAGCCCAGTACCTGACACAGTTCAAAGTGTCATTTACTATCATTGTACTATGTTGGTGTTTGTCTTAGTCCCTTTTCTATGACTATGACATAATACCTGAGTGAGACTAAAACAGAGATTTATTTCGCTCATGTTTTGGAAGGTTGGAGAGTTCAAGAATGTGGCAGGGACATCTGTGCAGCCCCTGGGGGCCTTTGTGCTCCATCACAGCTCTCAGAAAAGCTGTAAGCTGAGTGGGTGGGTATGGGGGACATGAAACACTTCCTCACGCTCTGCTCTGGTGAGAACGAACCCCTTCTCACTAGGAAGGAATTAATCCCTCTTCTCAAACTAATCACTTTTCAATAGCCCCACTGCCTTTCACCACCACACTAAGAAATTTTAACATATGTTTTGGTGGAAGCAAACCGCATTCAAACCCTACCACTTTGACTGTGACCATGTGTTTCTCACTCGCATCCTGTTTTTAACCCTGTAATTTTAACTGCTCTTGCCTCTGTGAAGTGGAGACTTGTCTCAGAATTCTGCAACCATGCAGCTCTGAGCATTGTTCAGAGGGAAGGGAAATCATTATCACTGTGTTCCACCCACAGTGGCCGCTGCTTTTGCTGTGGATTTGGAGCCTCAGCAATCATGCTTCCTCGTGCACCTGCCCATTTTTTTGATCAAAGTCATCCATTTCTGTCTTTAGTACTTCATCCAGTTTTGGAGGAACCAGTGTTCCCATTTATCAAGGTCACTTTGAATTCTCATCACTATCTTTCAAAGTGTTAACAACTCTGCCCAAATCAGAGCCTGCTTTCCATCATCCCTGCCCCTGATAGATGCTAGACAACGGTGACCCTGGGAGGACCCTTCCAGCAAGAGTGTTGCACATCTAACCATCATTGATCATCCTCTTACCCATCTGAGTCTTTGAACCAGATGGCCACTACTGACACACAACAGAGAAAAGCCACGGGAACAGAGTTGAACACTACACTCTCAATTATAGCTCTATCCCCTCTTCTTTTATTTAACCCTATCTTCTTTTATCCATTCATCCCTAGCCTGCCATTCAACAAACATTAAGCATGCTTCACATGGGAAGCACAGTCTAGATACCAACATGATTAATGCATGGCCCCTCACCAGGGCGTCCTAGAAGGTAGCAGGGTTTTGCTTTGATATTACCATCTGATTATAATCAGAAAAGGTTTGTTTTATGGACAGCCACATTAGTTACCACCCAAAGTGAACTAACAATTTATTTCCTTATTCACTGTACTTAGAATCAGCTGAAGTATTTGGTTTTAATAAAATATATTCATGTATAATAACTCCTAATATTTGTAAAGTAAATATACATACACATCTGGTATTAAAGCTGATCTTCATTAAAGCTTTCAGAGAAATTGTATGATTATTTTCTCTGATTTTACACAGAGGAAGTTGAGGTCCAAATAGGTTAGGCAAACAGCTTGATGTGATTCTGAATTGAACCAAGGTCTTCTGGTTAAGGCTTTGTGTCCCTTCCATTATGCATTCTGATGCCATATACCACAGCCTCAGAGCTCAGCAATGGTAGAAAGACAGCCAACAACCACTGAACATTTGCTAGGTTGTGGAGACCGGATTAAAAAGTGCACCATCTCACTTAATCAGGAGATGTCTGTGAAAAGGATGCAGCAGTCTCCCTTTTGTGAAGAACTGAGAGCAATATTAAACAATATTGTAGTATTAGTGGATTCAGGGATCAAACTTGGAGATCTTTCATCTTAACCAGCTTTCTATGCAGTGTCAGAAAAACCTGGAATTGCAAAAGAAAGTTAGCATGGCCTAACTAGCATGTAATAGTATTTAACCAAACATGCAATAGGATGGAAAATATCAGAGTACACCAATCACAGCACAGTTAAGAATTGAAACTTCTTTTAGCTAAATATGCACTGGCTGGACAATGAGGAGAAAAATATTTCTTATTTGGGGAGGTGGTCAAGAGTTTCAGAAAACACATAACTCAGTGTTCTTCACTGATAGTACACATGTATTTAATCACTTCAAATAAAGGGAAAATCAAGAGTCATTAGAGAGACATTGGGGAATTTACAAATCAGAATCCTCTAGAGAAACAGAATCAATGGTGTTTGTAGAATTGTGTACATTTATAAAGAACCATTCAATCATATATCTCACAATCAAAGGCCTTAATCATAAGGGATTAGCTATCACAAGTATGAACTCTTGTGAAATATCAAGATCTTCCCTCGGCTGGAGACCCAGGGCTGCTGCTTATCAGGAAATACTTACTGAGCACCATTGTTTCTGGGAAGTTAGAACAAAGCAAATAGACCCCTGCATAGAGAAATTATGATTAGTTGGGGGCTAAGGATACAGCACTGGAACAGAAAGCAGGACAGCAGCACAAAGGAGGAAGAAGCCCACTTTTTCTGTCCCTCCTGTTTTCAAGACTCCAAACTTTCAGATCTTTTCCAAAACAGTAGGAGTCAGTGCTTGCCAAGTGGGAAGGGGGCAGGCTGGGTGTGGATGTTGCATGGAAGTGGAGGTGAGGCCATAGAATGGGAGAGTATTCAAGTCCTCTCAAGGCTGGGCTGTTAGGGGGCTTGCTCCTGGGCCAGTGCAGAAATGGGCACAGTCTCCCGCAGGAAGGTGATGGTAATGGTGGCCAGGACTTGGAGTCAGAGAGGCCAATCAGCTGCAAGGGTCATGCAAAGACAATGGATGAACACAGGGGCACCCTTGGTCCCCAGGAAAAATGGCCCCCATCCAGGTGAGCACACTCCAGCTGTGCCCAGCCCTGCAGCCACAGGGCTGCCTACACTGTTTCAGGTCCCCAGGCAAACCATTGCCCTTCGTTTTCGGGTTACAGAGCCTCTTCCCACTCCCAGTCCCCACTTCTTCTGACAGTGCTTTTGTTCCTCCAGGTCTCTGCCTAGCCTGGGACTCTGAGCAGCTGTTCTGACACCCTGGATGTGGGATGGGTGCCTGTTGTAGTGCATCAGTGTACCTGGGACTCAGCTTCTGTGAAACACTGTTGGTACCACCAGTTTTCAGGGTGCCTCCTATTAATCGTGCCTCAGCAGGGTCTTGCCCAGTGGTAGAAGCTGACTCACAGCAGGTACCTGGTCTCTTTCCAGCCACAGTGGGTCAGAATCCAAGCCTGCAGATGCTGTCCATGTTCTCTGAGCTCTCGCTTACATTCTGAAAAGTCAGGAGTGGTCTTTTAAAAGGTCTGAGCTGAATTGGATAAAGGAGAGGTGAAGTATACAGAAACCTGGAGTGCAGAGCTCCTATGTTTGAGGCTCAGCCATGGGGGTGGCCTGGCAAGCCTTTCCCTATGCCTGCTAACCAACCAGTCACCCCGAACAAAGAGTCACTGGATTCTAACAAGCTCTAGGCTTTATCCCCAGTTACCATGACAACAAGGCTTCACGGTGATGGATAGTATTGATTGACAGACAGGCTCCTGGTGTCTTGGCTCTGTCCCCATTCCCCTTAAGTCATCTGCATACACATGCAGCAGAGAGACACTCGGTACCATCCTAGCTCTGCCCTGATTTTGAATTTTCACCTCTAATATCATTGGAAATAGCTTCCTTCATAAAGGAGAAAACCTGAGATACACTCAGAAATCTTCCCTGAGTGACCTTAACTGTCTCCCCATAGACAATACAATGTGGAGGGGAACAGGGCCTTTGGACGCAGACTTTAGTCCTATTCTTCCTGCTTATTACCAGGAGGGTAATTTTGGGTAAGCAATTTTACTTTAAACTACCTCAGTTTATTCTTCTCCAAAATGAGAATAAGCATCACTGTTTACAGTGATGCGGGAATAGCAGTGAAATACGTGAACTAGCCTATGCGAGATACCTGTCTGGCCTCTGTCGGTTCTTATCCAACCCGAGTGCTACCTCAATCCTCTCTACTCCCTCGTGGCCTCACAGATTACACTGCAAGACTACTGATTAAGGAAAGTCTCTGTGACAAACTTCTCTGCCTTCACCATTCTGTAATCTTCCAGATCAGAATCACGAGCCGAGAGTGCAAAGCCTGCAGCCTGCAGCCTGTCCCCACACAGAGACGACAGCAGCACTTGCCCACAATTGCTGGGCACTCAACATGGCCAGGGTTAATGGATTTGACCCTTCCAACCATCTTAGCAGGCAGCAGCTGTTAAAACCTTCACCTTGCACACGGGAAGCTCAAGAGCAGAGAGGCCAAACAGCTACCCAGATGGCACGGAGGCCCAGGTGCAGCCCCGCCCAGGCAGTCTCCATTCCCGAGGCTGCCCTTCCCGGTGCTACCTCTTATCACAGCCAAAACTGCCCAGAAAAGCTAGATCCCCTGGGCAAGGCCAGATCTGAGAGACGGAAGACTGGGGACTATACCCCAGCACTGGCCTGGAGCACATGGCTGCCTTCTCTGAGCCCCTTTGTCCAATGGGGTCATCAGAGAAGGAGGGGCTGGCACGGCTCCCTCTCTGACCACATTCCTGCAGTGGCCTACGGTGTGGACCTCTCTTCAGGGCCACACAGAGCACCCATGAGCTGGATGGACCACACCTTGCTTCAAAGCTCTGATAACTGAGCCTGTTAGGCATGGGATTGGGGTGCTAAGATTTATTGACTACCTAATTAGGCCAACACTATGTTCAGGAATTCACTCATGGGAGCTGCTAACACCCTCATTTTTAAAGAGTGGGAAAATGAGGCACAAAGTTGACAACTTAAGTCTCATTATGAGCAAATGATAGGACTTGCTTCCCAGGGTTCACACTGTGAACCACCACAACCACCAGTGAGCCTCGGCCAGCGAGCTTGTGGAATGGGCACATCCTCCTTGCTTGTAGGATGCTTAGGATCACAGAATGAGTTACAGAGGTGAAGCAGATAAAAGTGCCTTAGAAAGCATCAATTGTTTTTCTGTAGACAATAAATCAAGGGCCTTGAGGGTCTTCACACTGAGCTCCAACTTCTGTCCCCTTTTCATTTTTTACTTTGAGACAAGGTCTTCTGTGTTGCTCAGGCTGGGCTTAAATTTGTGATCCTCCTGTCTCAGCCTCCCTCAGATTGCTGGAATTGAAGTGTTTACCACCATACTCACCTAAAATATCAACTCTCATTCACGCACAATTATAAAACTGTGATTTGTGTCTTTAACAAAGGAAGATCTCCCAAAACATTTTAGAGCTATTGTCTAAGTAGGTTGGGACCAGCTAGTCTCTGAGAACTCCTGGTCACTGGGCATGCGCCAGGTGTTCTGCTGACCTTTGCAGAAGTGAGAGATGACTGAGAGGCTTGTGGTTTCATTAGAAAAACAAGACAACAAGTTGAAAGTCACGACGAAGGTATATTCAGTACAGTGCTGGTGAGAAGCAAAGCACAGGACTATTGCAGGGACTCTGAGACAGTGAGAAAAATCTGTCAGGAGCTCAGTAGAGAAACTCAATGAAAGAAATATGGAGACTTTCCAGCCAGGAAGAACAGCACATGCTGAGGTGCAGAGAGACTGCCTGCATTCTCAGGTCCTGGGGGAGGAGGCATGTTTTCATGGATCTGTGAAGGCACAAAAGGGCCAGTGAGGCGGCCGATGCCTCCAGGCAGTCCAGGAAACAGAGGAACCAACCGTGTGACACAAGGCATGGACTATCGGACTTGCTTTTCCTTTTGGGCTGTCTTGGAGGGCAGCCAACATAGGGAAGTGATATAGCAGAGAGATCACAGCAACCTGAATACTGTTCGTTTGTTGCAAAGAGATAAACAATGCATTGCACCTGCTGTTTTCCACCTGATGCTTTTAATCTGAGGGGTGACAAAGACTGTGTTCTGGCACCCTAAAAGTCAAGCTGCCTGGTTCTGCCTCTGAGCCACACGGATGCAGCAGCTTGGTGGGGGAGCAGGAGGAACCCTCCTACTGAAGAGGAGGGTTGGGGATGGCATGAGGAGAGGGAAGGGGAGGGGAAGGCTCTCACTTCTGCACCCCCCCCCAAAGACCAAGGGGCAACAAGCAGAGACATGGCCTTGGTTCCTCTGGACTGCCAAACAGGCACAGATGCAGCCATTCTTGGGGCCAGATTACAGTGGGAGAAACTTGGGGCCCCACCCCACACATCATGAGTATTCCACTCTGGAACTCTAGCCATGCTAATCTTTCTGAGCACAATCCGCCCCCAAGGAAGCCTCCCTCAGCCTGCAGAGACCTCTCACAGGCCCGCTTCCCACCCTCAACTCTAAACCCATTCACTCTCAGTGCCCCTCTATTTTTTTTTTTAATTTCCAGGATGCCTTGTGCAGAGTAAAACATTATTAGGTGCTTATTAAAGTTGCCTCAGACAGTCTCAAAGTGCTCTGTAAGATTCAGAATCTTAACATTAAAGGACCACTGTTTGTTGCTCTGTAAACTCTTCTGTGGTGCCCCACTAGGCAGGAGCCAGCCTGCAAGACAATTCCTCTCTGAAAGCGAGAGCCTTCTTTTCCCTTTACATAAACTTTCTCAGTCTCTTCAAACATTTTTTAAAAATATGATGCTGAATTTCTACAGCCCAGGGTTACTCTTCATTTTGTATTCCTTGGATTTTTTATTTTATATTTTTGTTGTAAGAGCTCTTAATAAAGCATCTACCCCTGTAACGAACTTTTACGATGTGGTATCTCTAATTATAGGGATGATGTCATACAGATCTCTAGAACTCATTCATCTTGCATAATTGAGATTTTATGTCTATTGATTCGAGGCTCTCTCTTACCCCAGCCTCCAGCCACCCCCCCCCACCATTAAGTGCCCCTTTAATTCTATGGCTTTGGCTACATTAGATTCTCTGTAAGTGGAATCATGTGAGTTTTGTCCTTCTGGCCCTGGCTTCCTTCACAAAGCATCATATCCTCAAGCTTTGTTCATGTTGCCACATGTCACAGGGTTTCCTTGTCAAAGGGTCAGTGATAGTCACCGAAGGAAGTCCTATTTTCTTACTTCTTGTGGAGTAGCACTCAGACTGTTTCAAAGCTCTGGGATATCTAAGGACATCTTAGCGTGTGACCCTGCTTGTCTAGCACAGGCGCACAGTGGAATACATTATATAACCATGACTTAGCACAGGTAAACATGCCTGTGCTGGTGACAGCACTATGCAAGAATGCAAACATGAGGTAACAACCTGTATAAGAATCATACAATAAAGACACAGGTGGCTCTTGCTGTAGCTCTGTCCTTTGCTCCATGCTACCTGCTGTTGTTGATGTCTTGCACATGTGCGTTCTTTAACTTTGGGATCTCACCCATCAAAATCTCCATTGGGCACCCCGAGTGGGCCAAAAAGTGTGACTCCCAGAAGTTTGCAAAGGCTCTGGGTTTCTAACAGTGGAGAAGAATGTGAGACACCTTCCCTGTATGTTACAATTATAATTTTTACCTCGCCTTCTCATCCTTCCATGCTGAGAGTCATCTACACCTCCACAGCCTCTTCCCTGGTTCTCCTCACTATGCTCCTACATTTGGTATTTTGTTCTCAGACTAGAATACACAGCTTTCTTAACCGAGTCTTATCTTGCTTATCTTGCTTTTTTTTACATCCATTCAGTCTGCCAGGGGCATTTTGGATCCTGACAGTTTACTTGAATTACCCTTGGCTTTTCCTACTCCTTATTCTGTGGGGGGTCTGATGATTCCAGCTGCTTCACCCAGGCTGTCCCTGATACAAGGGCCAGTGCCAAAGTCAAGCCGTTAGAGGTTCTCCTAGGGCCATGGCACTCAGCATCTGGTCCCAGGTTCATTGCATAGAAATCACCTGACATACTTGTTAAACATACAGGTGTTTTTATTTACCAGAAAGAAGCAGAATTAAAGCAAGTGGGGCCTGGGAGTCTGGAGTCTTAATCAACTTCCATTTGATTTGAGTGAATAGCCAGGTTTGGGGATGATCAGAGCTCAATGAATTCAAAACTCCAAAAAAAAAAAAAAACAAAACTGTGGAACCTGGTCTCACAGGATGGGTGGGGAGCAATGGTTCTGTACGTATAATTCATCTACATGAATCCAATAGATATAGTCCATCTATGCAGATTCTATACATATGATCCATTTACGCAGTCTGTGAGTTCTGTCTTTGTCTGCTCCTTACTCCATATCCCTCTTAGCCTGTCTTCATCTTACTCTGTTTTTGAAAACTCTGTTTCAGCTTCCAGCTCCTGGATTCTGATACCGCTTTGACCTTCTTTGCCCCCACACCAGCTTATCATTCTTGGTTTCCCATGGGCTCTCTGTAGACATCTCTGATTTTGGCTTCTCTTGCACCTTCTGAAGAGAGATTCCTCTTCTGACATCATGAAACAAGCAACTCTTAGAATATGTGTTAATCTTTAGTTGGTACATTGCCCCAAACCTGCTACTTTATTCTGATTCATGCGTTCACTTTGGTTTATTTCCACAATGCCTGTGTTGCCATCACACAACTGGTACTGTGTACTGCTGATGATACACGGTAGGTGCTAATTTTTCTTGCTTATCACAGAATTATTTAATCTGATGCAATCACCGGGATTAGTGAAAATACTGCAGGCTTCTGAGCGAGACTGACAAGAACAGGAGTCTCAGCTGTAAGGCCTTAGGCAAGATAATTAACCTTTATGAGCCTCAAGCATCTCTGACTGTAAATGAGAAGTGAGGCTCGGTGTCTGGAAGCACTTTGACTCTCACACTGTGATTCTTTAGGAGTCACCGATCTCCCCTTACACACTGGGACCCTGTTTGGGGGTCCTCAGAAGGCAGTTCTTTGCAATGGAGCCTCCCAGCTCAAATCAGCCTGGAATTCTCTACTGGCAGCCCATGGCAGGCTGCAGGCAGATCCTGCAGGAGTGTAATTACCCCACCAGCATCCTCCAGCCACCATTAATCAGCCCATCTTGTGACTTTAACTCTGTGGCAAGCAATCACTCTTGCTTCTGCCTGTGAATTCTTTTCATCCACTTTTGTTTATCACTGTTGAAGCATTTTTAATCAAAACAATTAAATATGCTAAATCTTCCTCAATTAGTTATGCATTAAAAATTAAAAGTGCTTGAGTGGAAATGGCTCAGTGCTGAGTGCTAGTACTCAGAGGTTTGCTTCTCCTTGGCATTGCCAGCTTGAGAGGGATTTGGAAACACATGCATAGGGGTCACAGAAAGTATGTCTGAAATAGAGGCACTCTCTTCTCTCCATAAACAGGAAACTGAGGCCTGGCGGTGCCATGGCCCATTTCTAATCTCATAGAGAGAATCATTGACTAGATTTAAATTTCTAAGATTTTTTTTCCCACCAGAAAGTCTTATCAAAGGGCTTGTGGCAATTATTTATTCCCTCTTTCTTCCCTTTGCCATTGATTTATTTTGAAATCCTGTACCATGGCAGACTGTGCTGCTGCATAGACGAGGTAATGGTAAAAGTCACGCTCACGGCCTCAGTGTTTTGCAGTTTGATGGGAGTGGGCCAATAAAGTTTGGTTCTCCACATTCCCTTGAATATAAGTAATCTAACACTTAGCTCAACTAAATGACAAACCTGAATTATTTTTTTCTTTGTGCTTGCCAGAGTAATCATATAGTTGGAAGTCATTTTTATAGTTACAGTTAAAGGCAACGTTTCGAAATGCAAACTGTAGTTTATGACTTCCAGAGGACCCTGTTAACTGGAAATCAAGCCAGCCTCATTGTGTGGTTGACAGCCTGCTCCAGTCTGCTTGTGCAGCCTGTCTTTCCAGGTGAACCTGTACTGGCTGCCAGCTCTGTGCATGCCAAGCTGCAGATCAGGACTGTGGCCTCCCCACTTTAAGCATCCTATATCCCCCTTCCAAAGGCAAGTTTCTTGGTGGTGCCTCAGATGTAGTAGCTGCATTAGCATGGGATTGGTGGCACTTGTGGGATCTTAAGAGCAGGCAAACTTCTCATGGTGATCTATCCATCTCCTGGCAAGACTCTGATTCCTCTGGGGTACAAAGAGGGCCTGACAAAAATAGAGTCATAATGAATATGATCATTGAAGCTTAGACAAAGAACACTGGTAGCCCTGAAGACATGAAAGATGATTCTTACCTGAAAAGCTGAATTAAGTACTTCAGATTTGCATAGCAGCTTGAACAGACTTTAGAAAGATGGGAAAGAGGAAGGGAGGGAGATGTTTGTTGATGGACAAACAGCCTGTGCAATGTGGTATCGGGCCTGTGGAGATGGATGCCTCAAGGACAGTCAGGAGTGAACGGCAAAGAGGAGAACACTAGCATTTTTGAACTACTAGTATGCACAATACATATCCTTGGTCTTTTCAAGAAGCAGTTGGATTAGGATTAGGCACAAAAGAGAACTGGTTTAGGGTAAAAGAACTGGGACTTCAACCTGGACCTCCACGACTCTAAGGCTGAAGTCAGCCTCTGTCACTGTGAGTTGGTTGTACGACAGCAACTCTCAGCAGTTCCTCAGCAGTGTGCATTTCTCTGTCTCCTACTGCAGGTATTACCAGTGAAAACACCAAGAAGTGTCTTGGAGGTTCCCTGGGTATTGAGTTCGGCTATAAAATAAATGTTGAAGCACGTTTATCGGGAGAATCTTGTAAAACCTCTGGACCCGGAAACTCTGGCAAGTATTTAGCAATGGACCTCCCCAAAAGAGAAAGTAGACTTTGCTTTGGACATGCAATCAGGGGGTGAAATTGACCCCTCCTGCTGATTCCACTTCAGTCAGTAGTCACACTGTGAGTGCTGATAGCACAAACCATGACCTGCATGTAGGTTCTATTCTGAATCTAGCATGCACTGAAATCATCTTAGGAATGCTTGACTGTGTCTTAGGCAACCTCCTAGACTCTTAAGTACTGGACAAAGATATAAGCAAGAATGAGGAACACAGAAAAGGAAAATGGTGTGGTGAGTTGATAGCTTATGAAATCACAGGAGGAAAAAGTCTACTCACAGAGGAGAATATGATGGCCAAATCCAAGCTAAAAGAAAAGTGATGAGAGGAGGAATATCTCTCACCAAAGAATATTCCCTCTGTAAGAATAAGTAAGGGCATTTTCTGAACAAGTCATGTAGGTGTTCCTGTATTCATTGACACATTCATTCATCAAACATGTATGAAGTGTTTTTTTTTTTTCTAGGTGAGAGAAAGAGGATTCAGGAATTATAAAAGGATTCCCAGTGGACGATGAAGTACATACCAAAGAGCCCCGTTACACCCACTGTGTTAGGTTGTCAGGTGGCTTCCCCTCTCTGCTCTCCTTCCATTCACCAGGCTAATACTCGCCTTTCTGTACAATTCACCCCTTTGCCCCAGGGAGTGTCTGGCCACTCCTGTCTCTATGCCCGCTCTGAGCCCTTCAGTGACATCTATCACAGCACTTAAATTATTGATGTCACCTATTTGGCATGTAGCAGTTGCTGAATAGACATTTGACCTGGGAATGAATGGATGGATGAAGGGACATGCACTGTCCCTTCCTCTTTATCTTCCTTGTTGGGCTGGTCTGTCTGCTGTGCTCCAGAGGACCAGTCTAAGTCATGGTCCTTTCTTCCACCCTGCCAGTCAGCCAAGCTGAGTAGAAGAGAGGGCATCACCTCAGAAGAAAGCCTAAAGCACTGGTCCAAGCTTCGTGACTGGCCAGCCAGT